GGACGTATTCCAGCTATTTCGGACTTTCTTCGGTCGTATTTTGGCCATCTCGGACTTTATGCGGAATTACCCGGCTATTTCAGACTTTATCCTGACGTTTTTCGGCTATTTGGGACTTTATCCGAACGGATTCCGGCTAATTCGGACTTTATCCTGACGTATTCCAGCTATTTCGGAATTTCTCCGGTCGTATTTTGGCTATTTCGGACATTATCCGGGTAAATCCGGCTATTTCGGACTTTATCCGGATAATCCGGCTATTTCGGACTGTATCCGGACGTATTCCGGCTATTTCGTACTTTATCCGGATTTATCCGGCTATTTCGGACATTATGCGGTCGTATTCCGGCTATTTCGAACTTTATCCGGAGAATCCGGCTAATTCCGACTTTATCCGGTCGTATTCCGGCTATTTCAGACTTTATCCGGATTAATCTAAACGCAATCCGCCTATTTCGGACTTTATCCGGTTTAATCGGGCTATTTTGGACTTTGTCCGGACGTTATTCGGACTTTCTCCGGACGCAATCTGGCTATTTCGGACTTTATCAGCATTTATCCGACTATTTCGGACTTTATCCGGAGGTATTCCGGCTATTTCGGACTTTATCCGGTCGTATTCCGGATATTTCGGACTTTATCCGGCTATTTCGGACTTTATCCGGACGTATTCCGGATATTTCGGACTTTATCAAGACGCAGTCCGGCTATTTCAGACTTTATCCGGTCGTATTCCAACTATTTCGGACTTAATCCGGATTAATCCGGCTATTTCGGACTTTATCCGCAATAATCCGGCGGGTTCGGATTTCTTCCGGATTAATTCGGCTATTTCGGACTTTATGTGATCGTATTTCGGCTATTTGGGACTTTATCCGGACGCAATCCGGCTATTTCGGATATTATCCGGCTATTTCAGACTTTATCCGGACGTAATCTGGCTATTTCAAACTTTATCCGTATATATCAGACTATTTCGGACTTTATCCGTATAAGCCGGCTATTTCGGACTTTATCTGGACGTATTCCGGCTATTTCGGACTTTATCCGGACGCAATCCGGCTATTTCGGACATTATCCGGATTTATCCGGCTATTTTGGACATTATCCGGTCGTATTCCGGCTATTTCAAACTTTACCCGGATAATCCGGGTAATTCGGACTTAAGCCGGTCGGATTCCGGCTATTTCGGGCTTTATCCGGATAATCCTGCTATTTCGGACTTTATCCGGACATAATCCGGCTATTTCGGACTTATCCGGCTATTTCGGACTTTATCCGGTCGTTTTCCAACTATTTCGGGGTTTATCCGGTTAATCCGGCTATTACGGACTTTATCCGGATTAATCCGGCTATTTCGGACTTTATCCGGATTAATTCGGCTATTTAAGACTTTATCCGGATTAATTCGGCTATTTCGGACTTTATCCGGGCGTATTTCGACTATTTCGGACATTATCTGGACTAATTCGGCTATTTCGGACTATCCGGTCGTATTTCGGCTATTTCATACTCTATCCGGATTTATCCGGCTTTTTCGGACATTATCCGTTCGTATTCCAACTATTTCGAACTGTATCCGGATAATCCGGCTAATTCCGACTTTATCCGGCCGTATTCCGGCTATTTCAGACTTTATCCGGATAATCCTGCTATTTCGGACTTTATCCGGACGTAATCC